AGTGGCGAAGCATTTAGCTGAAATGGGTGTTGGTAAAATCCTCATTTGTAACCGTACCCGTGAACGGGCTGAAACTTTGGCTCAAGAAATAGCCCATCGTGTAGATGTTGAAATCATTGAGTTTGATCAGTTGGCTAATAACTTAGCGCGTGCAGATGTCATTTCCAGTTGTACCGGTAGTTTACATCAAGTGATTCATTATCCAGATGTAAAAGCTGCCTTAAAAAAGCGTCGTTATCAACAAATGTTGATGGTGGATTTGGCTGTTCCGCGTGATATCGACCCGAAAGTGGAAAGTTTGGATGGCGTCTATTTATATGGCGTAGATGACTTGCAGTCGGTGATTGATGAAAACCTTGCTCAGCGTCGTCAGGCGGCGGTTGAAGCAGAGGTGATGGTCAACCAATTAGCAACGGAGTTGGTGACCCAGCAGAAGGTTAATCTGGCGGGTGAAACCATTCATGCTTACCGTCAGCAAGGTGAACAGTTAAGACAAGAAGAATTAGATCTAGCGCTGGCACGGATTGAGAAAGGAGAACAGGCGGAACGGGTGATGCAAGAGTTTGCACATCGTTTGACGCAGAAGTTGCTACATCCGACCTCGATTATGCTGCGTGAAGCAGCCAAATCTGAAGATCCGAGTCATTTTGAACAAATGCAAACATGTTTAAATGAGACTTTTGCTAAACGTCGTAAAACTAAAAAGTAAATCCAAATACGAAAATGTAATAGGTTTAAGTAATCAGTCTTAAGCCTATTTTTTTGGTCAGTTCAAAGAGTTTATGTTTTAAATTTCGTGTCTCAATTAATGAATTTGGGGCTTTAAGTTTAAGTTTTAAATATTTTTCTTCAAGCGAAAGGGCATATTCACTGGCCAGTTTATCCGCCAGTTCTGGTGTTTTAGTTAGTTCTTCAATATTGGTGCGCTGCATAATATCGGCAATCGCGTTGGCATAACGGCTACATGCACCCAAAACATAATAGGTTGCCAGTTCTTGGTCATCAGGTAAATCATCAAAGATGCCATCTAAGACTTGTAGCACATGCGCTAAAAGTTCATCTTCAGGTAAATAGGCGCGTAGAGTTTCAAAGTGAATATACAAAAACGGATGATGGATCAGAACGGCGAGGGCGAAGTCTTCATCTTTGGTACGAATATTAAAAGACAGCGAGGCATCGTTGCTGACTTGAGGTGTCCAGCGACGACCAAAACCGAGTTTTTCTTTGAAGGATTGATTCAGCAAATAACGGAAAGAGCCTGTTTTGGGCAATAAGTCCGTCAGTTGGCGTAACTCACTCATGACCTGACTTTTACCTTCAGGGCTACTGATGTCATGGTTCTGCGTCAGATGTGCAAAAACAAAGTCTGACAGTAGTGGGGCCTGTTGAAGCAGTTTATTAAAGTTTTCAATACCTTCGCGACGAATCAGTGAGTCAGGGTCATGATCATTCGGTAAAACAAAAAACTTCAGCTCGCGACCATCATTGAGTAAAGGTAATGCAATTTCTAAAGTACGGCGAGCCGCTTTTTGTCCAGCCACGTCACCATCGAAGGCAATGGTAATACGGTTGTTTTGTTTAAACAGAATATTTAAGTGTTCGGTGTTACTGGCAGTTCCTAAGGTCGCCACAGCACCTGCAATGCCATACTGCTGTAGCGCAATCACATCCATATAGCCTTCGACCATCAGCCAGTCTTGGGCTTTTTGTTTACGGCCTTCATATAAACCATAAAGCAATTGGTTTTTATGAAATACCTCAGAGTCTGGCGAGTTGATGTATTTGGGCTTAATTTCGTCATTTAGAGCACGACCACCGAAGCCCACCACGCGACCTTTGGCATCACGAATCGGAAATATGACACGATCCCGCAGTAAGTCG